CATCTATCCCAGCCCCTCATAAAACAGTGGGATAAGGATCATAACTATATACATACAGATGGGGCTGGCACATTATTGGAAGTTAACAAGCTGTATATTGGGAGCTGTGTATTGTATATTGGGATGTGTGATATATTACAAACCAGTGGGGATGCCAATATAGGGTGATATACTTCAAAACAGTGGGAGGGACTTTCTGTTAGAGAATGCCTATTAAGTAGGCTGTAGATCAATTAAGTCTAAGGATCTATTGAACATCATTTTTTTATTTGTTTGTATGTTAATAATTGAAGTTGAAACACTTTCTATAGCTGAATTTACTGACAAATGATTTTGTTGTTCTTGTGTTTTGTTTCGGCAAGAACAGCATAAACTTCAACTACATGTATAAATATAGATTTATATGATACATTGTAATTATACATACAAGTGTTTGTCATTTTTTTGTAATAATTGAAGTTGAAACACTTTTTATAGCTGAATTTACTGACAAATGATTTTGTTGTTCTTGTGTTTTGTTTCGGCAAGAACAGCATAAACATTAACAAACAAGTATAATATAGATTTATATGATACATTGTAATTATACATACAATACAATTATATTTTTTCTTAACATTATACATTTTTTCTCACTAAACATACTACCATATATTATAAGAATGCCCTAGGAGATATTTAAATGTCCTTTGTGTCTCCCTAGCAGTCCTTTGTGCCCCTAGGAGGTATTTTAAGATTCTTTGTACCTCTCTAGCAGTCCTTAGCGGTCCTGCAACTCATCGAAAGCATAAATTCTATCACCAAAATTATATTTTTTTCTTACAATAATACATTTTTGTCTATTAACTTACTACCATATATTATAAGAATGTTCTAGGAGGGATTTGAAGGTCCTTTGTGCCTCCCTAGCAGTTGTTAGTGCACCTGAGCAGTCCTTAGCGGTCCGACAACTCTTTCAAAAACATGAATTTTATCACTATAATGATATTTTTCCTTAAAATTATACATTTTTTTATTACTAAACATACTACATGGTATTATAGAGAATGCCCTTACAGGTATTTTAAGGTCCTTTGTGCCTCCTTAGGAAAATATTTTAAGGTCCCTAGTAGTCCCTTTTCGCCACCTGAGGACAGTCCTTTAGCGGTCCGGGCAACTCATCGAAAGCATAAATTCTATCACCAAAATTATATTTTTTTCTTACAATAATACATTTTTGTCTATTAACTTACTACTATAATATTATAAGAATATTCTAGAGGGATTTTGAAGGTCCTTTGTGCCTTGAGTCCTAGCAGTTGTTAGTGGCACCTGAGCAGTCCCTTAGCGGTCCGACAACTCTTAAAAAAACATGAATTTTATCACTATAATGATATTTTTTCCCTTAAAATTATACATTTCTATCACTAAACATACTACCATGTATTATAAGAATGCCCTTACAGGTATTTTAAGGTCCTTTGTGCCTCTTTTAGGAAATATTTTACGGTCCCTAGCAGTCCTTTTCGCACTCTGAGCAGTCCTTAGCGGTCCGGCACTCCATCGAAAGCATAAATTCTATCACCAAAATTATATTTTTTTCTACAATAAATACATTTTTGTCTATTAACTTACTACTATATTTTATTATAAGAATGTTCTAGGAGGGATTTGAAGGTCCTTTGTGCCTCCTAACAGTTTTTTGTTTAGTGCAACCTGAGCAGTCCTTAGCGGTCCGGGACGAACTCCATCGAAACATAAATTCATCACACACAATTTAAATATTTTTTCTTAAAAAATTTATAAAAAAATTTTTTTCTCCAACCTAAAATTAAAAAAATTTTTCCCCATTATATAAAAAAAAGGGAAAGGGCCCTAGGAAAAAATTTTTTTAAGGTTTTTTCCTTTTTTTTGGGGTTTTTTCCCTTTTAGGAATTATTTTAAGGGCCCTTTTTTTGGCCTTGGGGGCCGGCTAGGGAATTTTTTTCCCCCCGGGGCCCTTGGGGGGGAAAATTTCCTTTAAGGGGGGGCCCTTTCCCAACCATGAAAGGAAAAATTTTCCTTTTTTCCAAAAACCAAAATTAAAAATTTTTTTCCCCTTTAAACAAAAAAAAAAATTTTTTTTAAAAAACAAATTTTTGTTCTATTTCCTTTAATTTCCCCGTTATTTTTCCCCAATTTTTTAAGGGAATTTCGTAGCAGTTTGAAGGTCCTTAGCAGTCCGAGTGCAACAGTCTTAGCGGTCGAAACTCTTCAAAAACATGAATTTTATCACTATAATGATATTTTTTTTCCTTAAAATTATACATTTTTTATCACTAAACATACTACCATGTATTATAAGAATGCCCTTACAGGTATTTTTAAGGTTCTTTGTGCCTCTTTAGGAAATATTTTTAAGGTCCCTAGCAGTCCTTTTCGCACCTGAGCAGTCCTTAGCGGTCCGGCAACTCATCGAAAGCATAAAATTCTATCACCAAAATTATATTTTTTTTCTTAAAATAATACATTTTTGTCTATTAACTTACTACTATATATTATAAGAATGTTCTAGGAGGGATTTGAAGGTCCTTTGTGCCTCCCTAGCAGTTGTTAGTGCACCTGAGCAGTCCTTAGCGGTCCGACAAATTTTCCCAAAAAACATGATTTTCCCTAAAAAAAAAATTTTTTTTCCCTTTTTAAAAATTTAAAAAACATTTTTTTTTTTCCACTTAACAAACTACCCAAAATTTTTAAAATATCCCCAACATTTAAATTTTTAAGGTCCTTTGTACCCTTTCCCAAAGGGAAAAATTTTAATTTTTGTGGGGGGGGCCTTTTGGGCATTTCCTTTTGCACAAGGCTGGGGGCAGCCCCTTAGGGGCCCCTGTTTTACCCCATGGAAAAGCATAAACCCCCTGTCACCAAAAAATTAAAATTTTTTTCTTACAAATAATACTTTTTTTTGCTTTTTAAATTAACCTACACCTAAATTATAAAAAATTTTTTTCCCCAAAAGGAGGGTTTTTGGAGTCCTTTGCCTTTCCCCTTTCCCAAGTTAGGGGCACTTTTGGGGAGTCCTTAGCGGTTTCCCGACAACCCCCTTAAAAAATCTTTAAAAATTTACCCAACTAAAATAGAAATTTTTTTCTAAAAAAAATAATACATTTTTTTGGCATTTTAACAAAAACCTTTTTTTAAAAGGGAATTGGCCAACCCCTGGGGATTTTAAAGGGGGGTTCCTTGTCCTCCCTTTTGGGCAGTTTTTGTGTTTTTGGAGACCCCCTTTACGGCCGGACAACTCCAAAAATTTTTTAACCCAAAATTCAAAATTTTTTCCCTTTAAAAATTAAAATTTTTTTTTCCATTTAAAAATTTAAAAACCAAAAGGGTAATATAAGAATTTGGCCTAGGAGTATCAATTTAAAAATTAAAATTTTCCTTTGTCCTCAATTTTAGTAGCCCGGTTTTTTTCCCTTAGCAAAAACCCTTTTAGGGGCCCTTTTGGGCGGGGGACGTGGTTTAGTAGGACCCGTATTTCAAAGACTATTTTTCTGGAAAATTTTGGTTGCACCAATTTCTACGACAAAGTGTTTCGCACGTACGCACATTTCCGGTAGTTACTCGATTTATGCATAGATATTAAATCAAAGAATGAATCGATTAAATGTAAAGCAATTTCACTAGCTAGTAGCTAGAACTGTTAAAGGACAAAATGTTCATCTACGGGATCTAGTCTAGTATATTGGAACCCAAAACTAAACGAATATGCATGCATTTTTGTTACTATGCTTTTTGTCTTTTTGTTTTGTTGCAGTTTTCAATATAGACATACACAAACTCTTGAGGGAATGTGGGGACAGCAGCCCAAAAAAGCAACTGTATATTGTTTGTCTTAAGAATACTTTGGTATATGTATGAATAAAAAATTTAATTAAATAATATTATGAGTTTTGTAAATTGTCTGATAGAACATTATTCTCAAGATATTTAATAAACAATCAATCGCAAGTTTCCGTCGTCTGAATGTTGATGCCATAGGATTTAGGCGCGTTGATTGGTCACTACCCTCGGGGCAACCCCCCCCCCCCCCCCCACTCTAGAACCCTCCTACCTCTCATAACCATGTAAACTGCAGTTTTTATCATTTTAAATATGTTTTAATATTTGGTATATGCTTTTAATTCAGTTAGATATCTACCTTCATCTCCCACAAAAAATAAAAAAAAATGATATATTTATATTTAGTAAAGATATATGACTCGCCGCTCATTTGTCAGCGCTCATCTTAATATGAACTCCATATAACTCCAACATTTTTCACCAATTTTCAATATCTTGGTACCAAATGGTAGTGAATTGATTACTCTTAAAGGAATTTAAGCTGTCATTACAATCATTTCAAGTTTTAAGAAGATATGTAACAATGGTAGGATACTACGTCATCGCGCACCTGCTTGTAGTAAGCAAGTCTACAAGATATAATAAGCCACGCCTTTAATATCAAATATCGTTATTGTTACTGTGTGTATGTTTACTTGATGTTTGGGAGTTTATGAGTGTATACTTGGATGCAACACATATAATAAAATATATAAACCATCCTTCGGGTATTGTTTAGTTCGTGTGCTAGTAAGCCATCCAAATAGAAAATATAAATGTTACATTGGCGACGAGGATCGGATATTAAAAAAAAACTGTGGATTAATTTAAACTGACTCTGTGAAAAAAAGCAGATTTAAAAATGGATAATTTACCTGCTTTTCCGAAATTCGATGTTTTTGCTGATGAAAATTCTCTGGGAGTACGATGGGAAAAGTATTTGGATAAATTAGAAAACTTATTTGTTGGACTGGGTATAAACACTAGAAAACGAAAAAAAGCACTGTTACTTCATTATGCAGGAGATGATGTTTACGATATCTATGATACATTGAATTTAAAAGAAGACAATGAAAACTACGAGGAAACGAAAATTGGATTAACAACATACTTTAAGCCAAGAAAAAAACACACAATTTGAAATATTCGGATTTCGTAATATGAAGCAATTGCATGGGGAATCTATCGACCAGTTTACAACAAGATTACGCCAGAAAGCTAAGAATTGTGAATTTTCGGACATTGACTCAGAAATTAAAAGCCAGATCATACAGGGTGTTGTTTCACAAAACATGAGAATGCAGTGTTTACAAGATCCGGATAAATCACTTAATGACTTACTTACAAAAATGAGAACCATGGAAATATCAAAAACTCAAGCAGCAAATATGTCAAAGGATACAAGTAGTCAGCAAGTAGTGCGGGTAAAAAGCAATCCTCGATTTAGCCGTCAATCAAAGGGATTAGCACCTAAACGTTATCAGCAACGTTCATATCAAACTATCCCAGAAGCAAGTTTGTCGTCGGGAAGGCGAAACTACCCTCCAGAACGAATAAAAAATGCCGAAATTGTGGAGGAAAGTATCCCCATATGTCACGTTGTCCTGCTATCGGAGCGGAATGTAACTACTGTCATAAGAAGAATCATTTCATATCGGTCTGCAGAAAACGTTAAAACAAGGTGAAGTTAATCGATGATGAACAGTCGGATTCACCAGTTTTATCAGAGGCAAGCACGCCGAGTATCAGTTCAAATGAGTGCGATGTGTTATTTGGATTTAAGATATCAGATGGGAAAAAAGTGCCAAAGAAATGCATTAAATTAAATGACGTAGATGTTTATGTGTTGATAGATAGCGGTTCATCGTTAAATATTATAAGCGAAATCGACCTCGAGAAAATGAAAATCCGTCCAGAAATCAAGAAAACGAAAAGAAAAGCATTCGCATTTGAGCAGAAATCTCCACTTCCATTCATAGGCAAATGTTCCCTGCTTGTGGAGTCGGACTCAAAATTTATGACAAAAGATTTCCATATCGTTAAAGGCAACAAAGAATCATTGATCAGTTATGAATTATCGGTAGAGCTTGGGATTTTACCGCAAATACAATCAGTTCATAAATCAGTTCAAAACAAAGACGCATATTCAGGACTTATTGAAGAATATTCTCAAGTTTTCACAGGCTTAGGATGTCTGAAAGACAGAAAAGTTAAGTTTCATATTGATGAAAGTGTTGTACCTGTAGCTCAACCGCCTAGGAGAGTTCCATTTCATGTACGTGCGCAAGTCGAAAAGGAACTGAAAAGTTTAGAGGAAATGGATGTCATTGAAAAGGTTATAGGTTTACCGACACCATGGGTTTCGAACTTAGTAGCGGCTCCGAAACCTAATGCTCCACACGAAGTGAGAGTGTGCGTGGATATGAGAAAAGCTAACACCGCAATCAAAACAGAGAAAAATGTTTGCCCGACGGTAGATGATAAAATTATCATCTTGACGTTAAACGGCGCAACGGTATTTTCACGTCTAGATCTGTACAAAGCTTTCCATCAAATTGAATTGGATGAAGCATCACGTGTAATGACAACGTTTCAGACACATATTGGACTGTTTCGGTATAAACGTCTAAATTTCTGGGTGTCCGCAGCACCGATAATTTTCCAAAACGAGCTTCGTCAAGCACTTCAAGGTCTTAAAGGCATATTGAATATTGCCGACGACATCGTATTTTTTGGTAAGACACAGGAAGAACACGACGCCAATCTTAGAGCTTTACTGCAACGTCTTCAAGATCGAAACCTCACACTGAACAGCCAAAAATGTTCATTCGGACATTCTAAAATCAAGTTCTACGGATATGTATTTTCCAAATCCGGAATTTCACCCGATCCTGACAAAGTAGATGCAGTGAAAAATATGGACAGACCAAAATCAATATCCGAAATTCGTTCATTTCTAGGTCTTACAAACTATTTGTCTAAGTTCATAGATGGCTATTCCAGCTTAACTGAACCATTAAGACGACTAACACATAAAGATGTAAAATTTGAATGGACTGCCGACCAAGAAAAATCGTTCACATCATTAAAAGATACCTTAATAAGTGATAAGGTCATGACATATTTCGATCCTAGAAAGGAAACTGAACTCTGGGTCGACGGAAGTCCAGTTGGATGCTCAGGAATACTTATTCAAAACGGCAAAATAGTATCATATGGAAGCAAAGCATACAATTCGGTTCAGACGCGATATTCTCAAACAGAAAGAGAAGCTTTGAGTGCTGTCATCATGATTCAGCATTTCCATTTGTATTTATTCGGCAAGAAATTTAAACTGATAACAGATCATGCTGCACTTCAATCAATCTTCAACAATATCAAGACAATACAGTCACCAAGATTAGAACGTTGGCGTTTGAAGTTGACAACGTATGATTTCCAGACAGTTTATAGACCAGGTAAAATGATGATATCAGATTATCTTTCCAGGCATCCACATGCAAGACACGAAACAAATACAGTAGCTGAGCAGTATATTAGCTTTATCACAGATAACGCTTTGCCAGATGCATTGAAGCTGTCAGATGTAGCAAAAGCTACCGAAACGGACTGTATATTAAGCTGTGTAAGAAATGCGTTAGAACAAAATGACTGGAAAACTCAAAAATGCAAATTAGATGAAAGTTTTCGGTTATACGAAAATTTGAATAAAAATCAAGAACTTGCAGTTGCATATACGAAAGATGGATTTGTGCTTTTACGGGGTACAAAACTTTGCATACCAGAATGTCTGCAAAAACAAACTGTTATGCTTTCGCATGAAGGTCACCAAGGCCAATCAAAATGCAAAGGATTATTACGTGAATATTGCTGGTTTCCACATATGGATAGAATGGTAGACGAAATTTGTAGATCATGCATTGTATGCCAAGCTGCATCAACAAGAATTATTCCAGACCCGATCAAACCAACATTACTACCACGAGATGTGTTTTCTGAAGTCAGTTGTGACTTTTGTGGACCTTTTCCAGACGGTTACATGTTACTAGTTGTTATATGTGACTACAGTAGATTTCCAGTATTTGAAAGAATCAAATCGACAGCCGCAGATACAGTCATACCGCGATTAGAGGCGATATTTTCGATATTCGGATATCCAGAGGTAGTGAAAACGGACAATGGACCTCCGTTTCAAAGTCGCGCATTCAGAGAATTTGCTGATAATTCGGGATTTAAACATAAACGAATCACTCCATTGCATCCACAGGCAAATGGAATAGTTGAGAGATTTATGGCACCACTGCAAAAAGCAATTAAAACAGCGATAGCGTCCAGACAAGATTATAAAAGAGCGTTAAGTAGATATCTTATGAATTTTCGGAACACACCACAAACAACTACACAAACAGCTCCTAGTGAATTGATGTTTAATCGTAAATTAAAGACAAATTACCTAAAATGACTTTTGATAACAAATACACAGATATTCGAGACAGGGACAGTCTATCAAAAGCGAAAAACAAAATATATGCTGATAAGAAACGTCGAGCTCAGCCAAATAATTTGAAACTGGGAGATCGTGTGCAATTAAAACGAGAACAACGGTATAAGTTTGAAACAGCGTTTGATCCTACCCCCGGGATAATCATCGCTATGAAAGGATCTATGCTTACAATCAAACATAAAGGAAAAGAAATCACACGGGACGTTTCCAAATTTAGATATGTTCATGGAGATCAAGAGCCGGTGCAGACGAAACCTGCAGATAATACATCTTTACCTAGAAATAGGCCGCAGAGGAAACGCCGACCGCCGAGACGTTATGAAGAGGAGAAGAGTTTATAACAATAGACTTGCTATATAGCTTATTTCATACGAAAAGAAAAATATTTCTTATTACAATATGTTTGCACATTTAAATTTCAAGTTTTGATAATTTAAGTTTATTGATTTTATTGATGAGTTCTAAACTAAAGATAGAGGAGGATGTAGTAAGCAAGTCTACAAGATATAATAAGCCACGCCTTTAATATCAAATATCGTTATTGTTACTGTGTGTATGTTTACTTGATGTTTGGGAGTTTATGAGTGTATACTTGGATGCAACACATATAATAAAATATATAAACCATCCTTCGGGTCTTGTTTAGTTTGTGTGCTAGTAAGCCATCCAAATAGAAAATATAAATGTTACACTGCTGAATGCTCCCACTTGGACCAATTTTTTGTCGACTCGAAGTTAAAATACAATTTAATTATAAGAAAACGTAAGAGTATCAAGAAATCATGTAGCGCACCAAAGAATGGCTATAGTACTTTAGATAATTGTAAAATAAGTTTATAGATTCATTGCCTGGTTTAGGCCTGAAAAAGGGATAAGTGTTTTTCTCTGAATGCTCCCACTCGGACTTTTCCCGAAACATATAAGAAATAAGGTTGAAAACCTCCTTGAAAATTATTTCTAACGTACCGGCATATTAACCGAGTCATGTTTACACATTTTTCTAGATTAGTTTCAAATATTGCTGTTCAAGAGTCAGTTTTTTAAAGCTTTTTTTTTTTACAAAAATGGAAAATGCTCCCACTTGGACTAGATTTCAGAGATGCTCCCACTCGGACCCAAATATATACATTTTGAAAGCACATTGCTGTGTTAAGCTTTTATGGATTATTTTCACAATTTTTCACCATTTTGTCAATAACTAATGTGGTGTTTGGCGGCATTTTTCATTCTTTTTACAGAGATCACTTCTTTGATTCTGAAGAATGACGTCGTTGGGCAGGAACAAGGTGCCATGGCAAAGTTTCAACTGACAGGATCACTTTACAAAAAGGTGCAATTGGCTTGTGTTGGATCCGAAGGGATTTTGACTCAAAATTATTGCCAACAACAAAGCTAGGACTATAAGACTTTAAATGGACAGTTTTGGATCTCAAGAATAAAGTTTTGTTGAGATGTTTAAAAAATGGTGGTGTTTTATAAAGAAGTCATTACACATTGTTTAGTACCATACTGGATTAAGATTCTGTTGAACTCGTACACATACGTATTAGAGGCCTGCATTTATTTAATAATTTAGAACCCAATGATTTGGTGTTTGTTAAACTTGTGATTTAGATTTTAAAACAACATAATGGTACGTGTATGAACATAAAGAAATAGAGAAAAACAGAATCCCTAAAAAAAGCCCAACACGTCAAAACTGTAAAATGTTGTAGGCTCGGTTTGATTAAGCCTGTTCATGGACGGTAATGGAAATTGCAAGTTACCGTCCACGCCCCCTAGCACCGGCTTAAGCAGAATTCAACATTTAAACACAAAAATGGTGAAATTTGAATTTTGAAACATCCGCAGATTATCTATTTTATCTATCGGTGGATTTGAATAGTTTATTAAAGAACAACATGTAAATCATTTTTGTCATGAACTGGTTAAAAAGTCAATGTTCTGTCATACCATGGCACATAAAGCATGCACCACAATTATTGACGACAACTTTGACAATTTAAAGTATGAAAGTTATCCTGTGTACGCAATTTTACCTAAAATAACAACATTAAATAAATTAGAAAACAAGGATGTATGCATTCATTTCTTATTGAAGAATTCAACTTAAACTTTATAGAAAATATATTTCTATTTACCTCCCTTTATGAAATGTAAATTCGGCATTTTCTGTACAAATAGTGCTTTTTGGAACATGTAATATTGATAAATTTTCATTTGAGCATTATATTTATGATACAAAACCATAGAAAATTGATTTCAGGATATTTAAATGACGTTAAAATAATAACAATTATACAAGAAGGCATCACAGACAGTAAAATCCCCCGCCGAAAAGGAGCAAATACATTTCATAGGGGAAGTAACCCTTACCTACATGTAAAAATCCAAGTAATGACACTTGTGAAAATTAATGAAAAGGCATAGCCTAGACATAATAAATCATGACAAAATTAACACTCCAATAAAAAAAAAACAAAGAAAAAAACAACAAAGAAGTATTAAGTGAACACTTCTGGTCCAAATGCTCTGCATTCACTTCTATTAAACATGTTCAATATAAAGTTTCAAGTTTATATCTCAAATACCTTTAGATGTATGGTCCTTGCAAACTAATTATAGTAAATACAAAGAGCAATAACTAAAAAACTGGAGAGTTGTCATTCTTGTTTGCGGTATTTCACTTTATTGTAATCTATCCTCCAGTGAAGTTTCAGATAAATTGATCCTTTATGACACATTGTCCGAAAATTAAGGCAAAACTGAACAAAATACAATTACTTCGAGGAGTTATTATTCTTTTGTTTTCTTGAGTATTCCTCCTCACTGAGATATATCCACAGTTGGTATCTAAAATATTTGCTCCAGCTATGTCGTGCCAAGATGTCCTGCCATGTGCTTCCTTATTACGTCGCAATGTGGTTTATACGTTTTCCCATACTGGTCACAAACACAAATACTTTCTGCAAAACAAAACGTTATTATATTTTTAACATGTATAATCAATTTGTTTCTTATTTCTGCGAAACTATTTAACGAGGATTTTTTTTTAGCAGAACCTATTTTTTTCTTATTCTTAGGCCGATAACTGATCCTCTCAGAAGACATATTTACGAGACTGAACATTATGATAAAATATGTCACAACTTTAGTGATCTAAATATTAGTATCGTATTTTTTAAAATGCTGTTTCATTGATTTCTAACTGATTTTATGAATAAATAAACTTGAATATAAAGATATTTTGAAAAAATAATAATATCTTAACACAGCAATGTGCTTTTCAAAATTTGTATATATTTAGGTCCGAGTGGGAGCATCTCTGAAATTGAGTCTGAGTGGGAGCATTTTCCATTTTTATAAAAATAATTAAGAAAAACTGACTTCTGAATAGAAATATTTTAAACAAATCTAGAATAATGGGTAAACATGACTCGGTTTATGTTACGGTACGTTAAAAATAATTTTCAAGAAGATTTTCAACCTTATTTCTTATATGTTTCGGGAAAAGTCCGAGTGGGAGCATTCAGAGAAAAACACTTATACAGCAGTAGCGCGATGACGTAGTATCCTACCATTGTTTTTGTCAGTCTGCAGAAATGGATATTAAGCTTGACCACTGTTTCACTTTTGTTTAGTCATAATGTACACTGCACTACAAAAGCTATAATTTTGATGTGTATATATTTTACATAACAATTCTCCATTAGAACGTAATATGTCGGTAAAGAAACAGTTATTTAAATAACCAAAGAAAAGCATCCTCTCTGATAACTTTTCAGTAAGCTGTCACTAGAAGGGGGTCATGTCAACCCTAAGATCCAAAATAATTCAGAAAAACATGCTTTTTTCTGTTATGCAATTGAGATGTACATTCATACCCCAATTGTGACAGCTTTACTACTGCAAATAGATATCAAACTTGAAAAATGGCATTATAAATATGTTAAAATAGATAATTACCATTTATCTGATGTTTAGTTATTCAGAATTTCTTCAAATACATAACTAGTTCTATTTTAGCATTGTATGATATTTTTATATGGAACAGTATATATTTTGTTAACTGATTGAAAAAGTGGCAGTGCAGTTTTGAAGAACAGGAAAATGGGTCAGTTATGCTTTGACTGCAATGCATAATTTCCTAAAAAAAATTAATTCCTAATTTCAGTTTATTTCTAGTAATATAGGCCTCAGGCCCAAAATACAAAGTACAACAATACATCAAACAGTAGAGTGATAAATTGCAAATACATTTGTTACTAGATGTAATGAATTGAATTTGTAAATAATTATACAGTATTTAGCTCTTCCTTTCTTACATTCATTGCATAATATATATATTTAGCAATAGATATTACTTCATTTATTATTGTTGATGACATGAGAGAATAAAATGAATGGTGGGAATGATAATGTAACCATGTATCTTTAAAATAGACAGCTCTGATATTGTTATATAGTGAACATTCAAAGAAAAAATGATATTCATCCTCAATAACATAAATATTTGTCTTTAGGCAATGAAAGCTATATCTTAAATCTCTATCTATTCCAATATGTCTACCTTTCTCTATCATAAGATTATGACATGAACAGCGAAAATTAGAAAAAGCTCTTCTATACTTATATGCTAAATCTTTAACTTGGAAAGTGGCAGTATTGGGATACATGTCAAATATCTAAACTCTAAGCTTTTTAGTTTCTGAGGAAAAGTCTTTTAAAATTATGTTTATTATTACACTAACGTTTTGGTATTTGCTCATTTCGTATTTATGTCAGATTTGCTTTTTAGGTAGTGAAGCTTATCTATTCGTTTCGTTATCATTTCCATTTTCAACAATAAAGTCGAGCATACAGTTTTAAATTATTATAACACCGTTTACATTTGACTGGTTCAATGTTTTGAAAAATCGATATCACTTTATTTACATTAAATCATAACAGCAGTCAATGGTTGTTGTCGTCTGCAATTACAGAGAATTTAAGATACCGTAACAAACAAAATGCCGAAAAAACAGAAGGAAAAGATAATTGCAACAACATCAAAGTTGGAAGAAAATGTTTCCGGTTCTCCACAGAGTAGTTCACAGAGTAACAGTCCTCTAAGAGGTGCCTTGTTTTCTTAAAAAACATAATAATGATAATTTAAATTGGAGTTTTTTCCATGTGACGTCGGCATTTATTTTTAGACTAGACCTATGGCTCAAATTTTTCTTGGCTTGGCAGTAAATGGATTGAATGTTCAATGCGTATAATTCTAATTTTCAGAAGAAACTCCAATAATAAGTAAAGGAAAGAAACGCACACTTGAGGGAGATGTAGAGGACTCGGAAGATTTTGGGTAAAATATTCTTACTCTGTTAACAAAAATCACAAAAACTGTTTCTGATCGATGCTATCAGAATTCTAAAAACTCTTTTGAAACAAAAGTCAGCCTGCCAACAATTGTTTTACCTGAGACATGAGTAAACTGGAGTGGTTAACGAGTTGGACTAGTAATCTAATGATTTATGGTTGAGTGGGTTCAAACCCGTCAGGGGAAACTGTTTTTTCTGTGCACTTATTTTAGTACTGGTAAGTCTGGTTGGTTCCAGGAACAAATTTGAGAGTGTTTCAATTATAAAGCTTATAGCTTCCAACACAAACAAGATTCTAAAACAAATTTGTATAAACTAAACTAGAAACTGACTAGATCTATTTTGATATTATACTGGTGCCTCATATTTCCGAGGTACTTAACTGTTTAACCAGACAACAAAAGTTAAAAGGATAAAATTCTGAAAAACACATTGAATATTGTAGGATAGACATGTCAGTTGCATCATAGTTTATTCCATTTAATGTGTGCATGTAAGCAATTATTATTATGTATACAGCATTGTAATTAACACCCATCTGCTGCCTAGTGAGTAAAGTTGTGTTCTCATATTACCAAGGCAATTGCATTTTAATAGTTTCAAAAGCAAACCCAATAGTAATATTTATTTTTTAGTACACCTATACCTAGGCTTGTCTGAATGTGGGGATTTTCTCTTTGGCATTTATCAAATATCTCAATGGTTGTTTAACAAAGACATTTGTCTTAAAAGGTATGAAATCTAAAAGTAAAATGGTGAAATATAAATTACTTTGCTCTTAATCTGAATAAAAAGAATATTTTTTTCCTGTTCTATATGTAAAATTTCTATAAAAATACAATAAAATAGTAAAAGTAAAACTACTGGCAGGTTCATGAAGTCTAGGAGGCACTTTGGACTGTTTAAGCCTAATACCTTGGAAATATGGGTACCACGGAAATATGAGGCGCCAGTATATCTTTTCATAATTTACTTTTTTACATAGAATATAAAGAATATGCTCCTTGACATGTATTTATTTATAAGTATAACAGTATTACACATATTTAGAGAGTAGATTGCTATAAATATTTTTCAGAGCTCTGTGTTTTTTTTTGTATTTCAGGCAAGGCTTACAAAAGATGTTGGAGTGTTTTGGGAGTATGTATCTATATAATCCATTGTTAAGTTTTAAGAGAAATATCAATGAAATATCTAAATGATAGTTGTTTCTTTGAGATATTTCTCTTTTATTTTACTCCCCCACCCCCCTAAAGATGCTTTTGACCTTTAAGGTAAATGCTGAAATTGTCATTAATGGTCAAATTATTGAAATCAGTTCAAATCATGCTAAAACTGGCTTTAACTTGGTTGTTTTTGGATGTTTTAAATTCGTTCTTTGGGACAACAACCTTACTCAATACCTTCAAGTAGATCAAACTGAATTTTACCTTGACATTTATGAGTTTAACCTTTATGGTAAGATAGTTGATTTTTTTGTCTAAAATTTGCCTATTTCAACCTTTTTATTTTTGGACAGATTTGATTAATGCTTAGACAAACTAACACCATACAATTCGGAAATTGAGCAATTCAGGATGAACTTGATGATTATCCTAAAATGACCTTGACAGTTAAGGCCAAATGATTGGATTTTGCTTCAGTTGCTGTAATTGTATTACTGATACTAGAGTAGACTATATAAACTTGAATAAGTATACACAATTACACATGAGATAATAAACACCCTCAACAAGATAAGTTCAGTTGACCTTAACAACTTCAAGTAAATGACCTTGACCTTTAAAGAAGTATAACTAATTTGCCTAAGATCAAACAAATATTTACAGTCTTCACGAAAAACTTTAAAAAGCACAGGACATTCGGGCCAGTAAAATTTCAAATCTTACTGGACCTGGTGATTTTTAGCCGGACCAAATACATATATAGGTAATAAATTGATGGGTAAAGGAAAACACTTTATCATGCTTCCCTTGTTAATTTTGAAAGAAGCAAAATACTTCTTGTATTCTGGACCATAAGTTGATAGCTTTATAAATTTAGAAGGACCAAATGTTAAGGCAAAACTGACTAGCATTGAACATGAACAACACTGTTTACTTCAAACAAATCACTTTCACACAAAATATTAACTTAACTCAATTATCACAAAATCATAGGTAAATAATGACCATTATAAACAATGGTTTAATTTCCGTAACTGTACGGTGCGGTACGGAAAATATCCAAGAAAAAATGGCGGCCTCCATTACTCAATACAATTTAGACATCTCTCGCTGTGTTTTGAATTTTAGGGACAGAATTGATGGGTTTCATTTGCAAAAAAGGCAAAAATATCAATCTTTTAGAGAGCCCTGCTTCATTATTTTGTTGCGTTTTTCTTATAAAATTTTTTCATGGCCAAAAATCTACTGGCCCGTCGGACCACCAACCTTGCAATAATCACCGGACCAATGCTAAATTTAGTGGCCTCGGACTGGCGTTAATTTCGAAGACTGTATTTAGTATTGAATCGATTTGTACATATTTGGACATAACAGCATTTAAATTAGGACAAAACCTTCAAGTATGACCTTGACTTTCAATTGTCCTTGACCTTTTACTTAAAGGCCCATAATGCCCCAGATATGCTTTCATTTTTATTCCTCAAAATCTCTTTATCTTTTGTATTCTTTTATAGTTTTCAACAAGATACTCATTGGCCAATTATCTGCACTTTCTTCTTCTTCTGTCCTTTTTGGCAATAAGTACATTTATAGTGATTTAGTATTTTGCATGGAAGTCAAAATACTAATTGTTTACATTCTGTTACTTTTATGACGTATAATGTTACATTTAGCGCTATTTTCTTCAGGTAACAAGCACGTAACGTGCTCTAAAACCATTATTCAATGTGGTAAAACACATGTTTGAAGTTACTGAAGAAGTAAATATTTATTCATTTCTGAGGCATAATGTGCGTTTAAGACAACATTATTAAACTTGAATTCTGTAAAACTTAGTAAATTATGGACATAAATGTAGCAGTGCTCCTGTTATTTAATCTTTAGTTTTTATTTTAAAATGTTGGGTATTTAGCTTCAACTTTTTCTGCTTTTAATTCAAATTTGATGATATTTTTATGCAGGTGATTATATAAAAAACTCATTGATGAACAAGAAGAAGAGACTTGAACAGTTGACACATGGTGCATTGAAGGCTAGTAGTAAAACTGTGGATGATATATGGAGGGTTCAGAATAATGAAAGGTTTTATGATATGTAAAATTGTTATTGTAAATGAAATAACTTTATATCTCATGAAAAGTCATGAACAACTTTCATTATTAACAGTTCAGATCTTTCTAAAAAAGCTAGTTTCATGCCATTTTACCCTATAACAGAAGCGAGTTTATGACCTTATTCCAAATACAAATTCGGTTATTCCTAATTAAACAAAAAATATTCACAACAACAACTTACACGAAAAAAATACACCAAAAAAAACCCCAACTGTTTTCACTTGTTTCTTAAATAAAGTGACCAATAATATGATCATAAAAATGAGAAAACAACAGTTTTGAAAGTCATTTAAGTAGATTTTCTACATTTCAAAATTTCTTAAAATAAAGTATAATTTTTCACAATCACTGGAAAATGCCTTCATTCTCAATTTAGTTTAAGTATTATTTGCTTTAAATTCTACAGGTCAAGACTTCAAGATGAGTATTCTAAACAGGTGGGTGCTGTGTTCCAGCAGTGGGAATCTGACCTTGAAAAGACAAAAGAACAGGAGGCCAAGCTTACTGTAAGAAATCCATCTTTTAATATAAAATTATATTCTTATGCTCCCCAAAAAATTGAAGGAGCATAAAATTGCTGCTTTGTTCCGTCTTGCTTTGCCAGAGTTTCTACTAAAGTGATGCATCTTCATTAATTTACCAATATCTTTCATGTTTGGTAGGTAGATACAACAATGTACCTTGGACGGACTTCCATGGGTGGTGCTAATTTTTTTTTTTACTTGTTTATGATAGTCTTTTTTTTTTTCACAAAAGTTTTTTTATATCTGATAGTCACTTCGGTCAAGATAGATTTTTATGCTTGCTTATGCAGCTTTTATCCATTGACAGATATCTGTCATATTTGGGACAGTACTTTTACTTGAAAGTCACTTTGGTCAAGGTCACTTATTCTTAAAATACACTTTTTTATTAATTTATGTCTCTATATTTCATAATTTGGAAGGAGCATACCTTTTGTAGTCATCAAACTGTTTCAATTTAAGTGCTTTTTGTGGCCTACTCAACCAAATCATTAATATTTTCCAGCTCTCTAAAACTTCTTCTGTTTAAATATTAAACTTATTTAAACAAAATCTGCTTACATGGCGGCTTTGTAAACCACATCACAGATGACCAGCAAAATCATAAGTTTTGCAATATTTTGATCTAAACAAACTTGAACTGAAATTGTCTATGCAGGATTTTGCATGTGTGCAAACAAATTCATGAACAGTATAAAGCAGAAATTTCTATCCTGTTGATGCAATTATGTGAGTTAATTTGTCATTTTGCAAGTTCATTAATTTATAGAAAGTCACACTTGTATAAAGTGGAGGGAAATCAAAAATGTTTTCTTACATATTTTATTTTTAAGTATATTGACTGAAAGTACTTAATGCTATTTAACAGCCGTCAGTGTTGTTTTTGTTTAATATCTTGTTCAACTTTATACATACCTGTAACTTATATTATAAATTTAAAAATGAATTAAATTATCAATTTAAATAACAATAAAAAATTGCAATCTGGAACATGGTTACTTACTATTTAAGTGCAAAATATTGAACATAATTTTATCAAAATATATCTTATATTAAAGGGTATATTACTAAAAAGCCATTATCCTTGTATGCCAAAATGATTTTCAAGCAACATTGCAAGCACATTTGGACAAATATCTCTTGTTTACTCAGCAAAGCATCTTTGTGTCATTTCTCAATTTATGTACAATCTGATTGAAAAATTTCCAAAGTGGATTTATAATAATTAAGTATTTCAGTACCCCAATATCAAGGTTACCATAGGAACTCTGAAATGCTTAAATGTTACACAGGTTTAAAGTTTAATTTGATTGACAAAAACTTACCTTTTGTTTACAAAGTTTGTCACAATTTTTAGGTCAAAGATCAATGTTTATAATTTTGTTCATTATCAAAATTACAGATGTTATACAAGCAGCAACAGAAGTTATTTGAACAGGCACGGGCAGTACAATGTCAAAGGTTGAAGACAATAAAGCAGCTACATTGTCAATATATCAAGGTAATGTGTCAAAGTTTTTCTTTGTAAGTAAGGAAAATAAGATTTGAAAAAAAAAAATTGCTGTTTTCCTATGTGCACAAGATGCAAACTTTGTCAAACCATACATCTGAGAAGTAAAATTGTCTACAGATATAATAATGTCCCAGTCAATTGTAACCCTAATACATACATGTACCTAATGTACAATTACCAAATTGATTCTCAAAAATCTTAAGTCAGTATCAGTGTTGTTTTTTTTACTTTTAATGTGAATTTTTAGCACAATAATCTGTCAAATTGTGAAAAAATAAACAAGAATAAATCATCACATGTAGTCAGTTTATTCATATATTTAATAATAATGCTCATAGTTTAAGCTTTCTTCTTTTTATTCCCTCAAATATATCAATCAAATTCTCAAGATTGTCATTTGTCAGTTCATTATTTTGTTTGGCACTGAAAAGCAACCCTGCCCATTGTGAATTTTTTACACATTTTTGTGAGTATTTTATGGGTTTTTTTTTTCATTGTGAATAGGCCTTATTTCGGGGTCAAAATCAACCAAAAAAAATCACTGAGTATTTATTCTTGAAATAAATCAGAATTGACCAGAAAGTATATCTAATAAAAATTGCATTTTTGAAAAATTCTCTCACAAATATTGTTTGATAATTTTATTAGTAATCACTTATTATTTCTCAGACTTATTAAGTACTTTTATTCAATATTGGCCAAATAAAAGCACAGATTTTTGATATTTTTATATCTAGAAAGAAATTAGAGATGAAAAGTTTTAAAGGATCAACCCTAAAAATTTTTTAAAAAAAGCTCCACTGAGGTTAAATGCCTACAAAACATAACATATGGAATTCTTACATAGATCAACAGGGACACTAATACCTCGGAAAAGTAATGCATTAAAACATAAGAACTTATAATACTCAGAATCAAATCTATTCTTGATTTCTATGCAATCTTAACCTGATAAAGTCCTAAGTTTTTAAGCATTTTATACTGCCTTTTATTAGCTCACCTGTCACAAAGTGACAGGGTGAGCTTTTGTGATCGCTTTTCGTCCGGCGTCCGTCCGTCCGGCGTCCGTCCGTCGTCCGTCCGTAAACTTTTGCTTTAAATGACATCTCCTCATAAACCACTGAGCCAATTTCATCCAAACTTCACAGGAATGTTCCTTTGGTGGTCACCTTTAAAAATTGTTCAAAGAATTTAATTCCATGCAGAACTCTGGTTGCCATGGCAACCGAAAGAAAAATCTTTAAATATCTTCTTTTAAACTACCCTAAGAGCTAGAGCTTAGATATTTGGCATGAAACATCTTCTAGTGAGTGTCTACCAAGTTTGTTCAAATAAAAGCCCTGGGGTCAAAATTGGCCCCGCCCCAGGGGGTCATTGATTTTCCCTATATGCATATAGTAAAAACTTAAAAAATCTTCTTTTAAAGAACCGTAAGAGGTAGAGCTTAGATATTGAGCATGAAACATCTTCTAGTGAATGTCTACCAAGTTTGTTCAAATAAAAGCCCTGGGGTCAAAATTGGCCCCGCCCAGGGGGTCATTGATTTTCCCTATATGCATATAGTAAAACTTAAAAAATCTTCCTTTAAAGAACCCAAAGAGCTAGAGCTAAGATATTAAGCATGAAACATCTTCTAGTGAGTGTCTTACCAAGTTTGTTCAAATTAAAGCCCTGGGGTCAAAATTGGCCCCGCCCCGGGGGGTCATTGATTTTCCCTATATGCATATAGTAAAAAACTTAAAAAATCTTCTTTTAAAGAACCATAAGAGCTAGAGCTTAGATATTTGGCATGAAACATCTTCTAGTGAATGTCTACCAAGTTTGTTCAAATAAAAGCCCTAGGGTCAAAATTGACCCCGCCCCAGGGGTCATAGATTTTCCCTATATGCATATAGTTAAAACTTAAAAAAACTTCTTTTAAAGAACCCAAAGAGCTAGAGCTAAGATATTTAGCATGAAACATCTTCTAATGAGTGTCTACCAAGTTTGTTCAAATAAAAGCCCTGGGGTCAAAATTGGCCCCGCCCCAGGGGGTCATTGATTTTCCCTATATGCATATTATAGTAAAAAACTTAAAAAATCTTCTTTTAAAGAACTCAATAAGCTAGAGCTAAGATATTTAGCATGAAACATGTTCTAATGGGTGTCTACCAAGTATGTTCAAATAAAAGCCCTGGGGTCAAAACTGGCCCCGCCCGGCGGGTCATTGATTTTCCTTATATGTGTTTGGCAAAAACTTAAAAATCTTCTTTGAAAAAACCCAAATAGCTAGAGTTTAGATATTAAGCATGAAACATCTTTAAGTAAATATCTACAAAGTTTGTTCAAATAAAAGCCCGGGGGTTAAAACTGGCCCTGCCCCAGGGGTGTCATTGTTTTTAACTATATGTGTATAGTAGTAAAAACTTTAAAAATCTTCTTTTAAAAAACCCAATGAGCTAGAACTTAGATGTTTAGCATGAAACATCTTCTTATGGGTGTCTACCAAGTCTGTTCAAGTAAACAAATAAAAGCCCTTGGGTAAAAATTGGCCCGGGGGTGGGGGGGGGGGTGCTATATACAGGTGAGCGACCTCAGGGCCATCATGGCCCTCTTGTTTTTGTGTAATCCTGGAAAAACAGAGTGAGTCAGCAATTGATACGGATTTGCAAGACCTGAAGTACATACCGGTAATAAGTCATATACAAATGTTGAAAAAAATATTTCTGCAGATATGTCAAAAAATTCCCTTTAAAATCTATCAATTTGTATTTTGTAAAACAGGGCCTGGATGATTTGGAAAAGACCCATCACCATCAGGCCACCAGTGCAACAGCAGAACTTAAAAAAGAAATGAGCCTTCTGCAGAAGAAAATACTAATGGACACTGTAAGTTATGAACCTTAAATGTAACTTTATTTTACTGTAACTTTTTTTTTATTTAACAATTTTAAAAATTGATTGATCATTGATCAGCTTTTCTAATAATTTTGTAATGTGTTTGCTAAATTCACTAATTAACAACAAAGATTAATTTTACCTGTTTTTTAGCTCACCTGTCACAATGTGACATGTGAGCTTTTGTGATCGCTTTTCATCCGGCGTCTGGCCGTCCGTAAACTTTTACTTTAAACGACATCTCCTCATAAACCGCTAAGCCAATTTCATCCCAACTTCACAGGAATGTTTCTTTGGTAGTCAACTTTAAAAATTGTTCAAAGAATTTAATTCCAAGCAGAATTCTGGTTGCCATGGCAACCAAAAGAAAAAAACTTAAAATATCTTCTTTTAGAAAAAACAGAAAGAGCTAGAGCTTAAATATTTGGCAGGAAACAGCATCTAGTCAGGGTCTACCAAGTTTGTTCAAAAAAATGCCCTGGGGTCAAAATTGGCGCTGCCCCGAGGGGTCATTGATTTTCCTTATTTGTATATAGTAAAAACTTAAAAAATCTTCTTTTTAAAAACTTAAATAGCTAGAGCTTAAATACTAAGCATGAAATATCTTCTAGTGGGTGTCTACCAAGTTTGTTCAAATAAAAGCTCTGGGGTAAAAATTAGCCCTGCCCCAGGGAGTCATTGATTTTCCTTATTTGTAATACATGTATTAAAAACTTAAAAAACTTCTTTTAAAAAACACAAAATAGCTAAAGCTTAGATATTTAGCATGAAACATCTTCTAGTGGGTGTCTACCAAGTTTGTTCAAATAAAAGCCCTGGGGTAAAAATTGGCCCCACCCCATGGGGTCATTGTTTTTCCCTTTATGTATATAGTAAAAACTGAAAAAACCTTCTTTTAAAAACCCCAAAAAGCTAGAGCTAAGATATTCAGCATGAAACATCTTCTAATGAGTGTCTACCAAGTTTGTTCAAATAAGGGCCCTTGGTTTAAAATCGGCCCGCCCGGGGGTCATTTCCCTTATATATGTGTATAGTAAAAACTTAAAAAATCTTCCAATAAAAACCCAAAGAACTAGAGTTTAGATACTAGTGAGTGTCTACCAAGTCTGTTCAAATAAAAGCCCTTCCAGGGGGGGGGGGGGAGGTCATTGTTTTTCCCTATATGTATATAGTAAACATCTTCTAATGGGTTTCTACCAAGTTTGTTCAAATAAAAGCCCCTGGTTTAAAATTGGCCTTGGCCCAGGGGCCTTTATACAGGTGAGCGATTTCAGGGCCATCATGACCCTCTTGTTCTTTTTTTATGCCCCCACAGAGTGGGAGCATATAGCGTTGCACTTGTCCGTCCGTCCGTACGTCTGTCTGTCCGTCCGTCCGTCCGTCCCGTACGTCCCGAAATCTTGTGAACGCAACTCCTCTTAAACCGGATGGCAGATTTTGCTTAAACTTCCAGGGATGAACAACCTTTATGTGTAGATGGTAGTAAAGGAAGGAATTTTCGCTGTGACAAAATTTAACAGAATTATGGCCCTTTGTTGATTTTTTCACTATATACTATGTAGAAATTTTGTGAACGCAACTCCTCTTAAACCGGATGGCAGATTTTGCTTAAACTTCCAGGGATGAACAACCTTAATGTGCAGATGGTAGTAAAGGAAGGAATTTTTGCTGCGACCAAATTTAAGAGAGAATTATGGCCCTTTATTGATTTTTTCACTATATACCATATAGAAATTTTGTGAACGCAACTCCTCTTAAACCGGATGGCAAATGTTGCTTAAACTTCCAGGGATGAACAACCTTTATGTGTAGATGGTAGTAAAGGAAGGAATTTTTGCTGTGACCAAATTTAACAGAATTATGGCCCTTTGTAGAATCTTTTCACTATATACCATATAGAAATTTTGTGAACGCAACTCCTCTTAAACGGGATGGCAGAATTTGCTTAAACTTCCAGGGATGAACAACCTTAATGTGTAGATGGCAGTAAAGGAAGGAATTATTGATGCGACCAAATTTAACAGAATTGTGGCCCTTTGTTGATTTTTTCACTATATACCATATATATATTGTCAGTGGGGGGCATCCGTGTCCTTTGGATACAGTTCTAGTTTATTGTTATTATTAAGACTGTTTCATTTTTTACAGCAACAACAGGAGATGGCGAATGTTAGGAAATCACTCCAGACAATGTTGTTCTAGTTGATGTAAAGAAGAATGTGTTACTCAAGTCAACCTTGCTATCAATTTCTTAATTAACATTGAATTATCTGTGTATGAAATTTAATAGGATGCAATTTCTGTCTTGTCTGTTATTCTGTACTATGACTTTACAGGGTGGCAACAAATATTTTATTACAAACTTTACACACAAAATCTTCAATACAAAATAAAATGACAAAAGCAAGATAACAATGTTCAAAAATGTGTAAACTACAGCACCCAGAAATTAAAAGTGACAGAATACAAATGTAAATCATGTGTAGTATATTTGTAAATGTATGTATTTATATTGTTTTGTTGAGTAGTTTTAGGCTGTTGCTGACCTTATTCTTAAATTAAAATTTGTTGTTTTATTTACAGTTTGTTTTAGATGTTTTGAATTAATATATAATATTTCAGTAGAATGTGCAATTTACATATATGATAATAATTAGGCTAAATATAAATGCTTATCATATTGAGAATTTGGCTTTCCTTCTTTTTCTTAATAAAAAACCTTCATTTCATCTGATACAACACAATAGTACAGATACTCTGGGGTAATTACAAATTCAGGGATTGCAAGCTTGTATTATCAACTCAGGCTTAGAGCATCCTGTCTTTCGAGTGAGACTTTCATACATAGGCTCCATGTTCAAACAAGATCAAAATTGATATTTAAGAAAGTCTCAATATTTCATTTGATTAAAAATCATGTGAATATAAAGTGATTTACAGTATGTCCTTCTTTTTTCAAAAGGGGACAATGTTAAAGATTTCGGATGGCAACAGGAACAGATCAGTTGTTTGCAGCTGAATAAATAGCTCGAGTTTTTTTTCAAGAGATTAAACAATATAAATAACTAAAAGTAAAGAGGAGAGCAATAGACTAAAGCTGTTTGGAGTGTAAAAAATTTTGTGATAGCTTCCGTCTCAGTCCTACTTGTTACATCATGTTTAAATGCATATATGGTTAATTATAAAACTGCTGACCTGTTAATGGGATAAAATATATTATAGACAAGAGAGAGAGAGATCGCTGATCACATGTGTAGACTGATGATAGTCAATTAATAAAGCAGATGTATTGAGGGGTCAGATTGACCCGTTTGTTCCCTATATGTTGCAACTATTGAGTAGCAAGAGACACAAAAATAATTAACATTCCAAAATACCTTTTTATTCAAGGACTATAACTCGGCTCAAAATCATTCAACTGCAAACCCCATTAAAATGCCCGCTACTTGCGGTATCAATTAATCCTGTAAATTTTCACTCAAATTGCATTAGTAGTAAAGATGAAGTACTCCACACAAATCTTTAAAAAAATATTAAAGGGCCATAACTCTTGACAAAAATCATAGAACTGGAAAATGCCAACAATATGCCCAACTACACTTGGTACTGATCGTTCCTGTGTAGTTTGGATGAAATTGCACCATTTTTAACTCACCTGAGGACAATGTCCAAGGTGTGTCTTTCCGTCGTCCGTCTGTGCGTGCGTCCGTCAACAATTTCTTTCAACAACTCGTAAGCCACATCAAAATCCCCAGCCAGATCAAATGTTTGTTTTTCTTCTCTTTTTCTGTCATCTTTTTATTAGCTCACCTCTCACTTAGTGACAGGCGCTGAACTGTTTAATAAAATGGCTGCCAGAAACAACATCTAAACCATTGGTTCAATTTAAAATAGTTTTAAACGAATATTTACTTGATGACAGTGTACAAAAATTGTTCAGATTAAGCTGTCCTTTGTTTTCAAATTGTGCTTCTTGGTTGAAAAGGGACTCAACTATGACCTATTTCTCAGGTGAGCGATCCAGGGCCCTCTTGTTTAATAGTGTCTAACTTGTTGCTGTCTTAAATCTGCGCTTTTTTTTTCAAAAAAAGACCCCATGTTTAATTCATAACTAGTTTAACAAGAGGGCCATTTAAACTCCCCATGACAAGGAGCAAATAATATTGTAAACTATAAAAAAGCAGATGCACGTAAAATCTAAATCTTATACTGATATCACAAAGTTAATTCATGCATGTATTTGTATCTGAAATAGTAAATGTGTACAAACACTACTTGAGAAAACAACAGTTCCAAAAGATGTGTACATATGAGGAAAACAATGACCCCTTGAGGCAGGCGCAAACTTGGTAGACATCCATAAGAAGATTTTTCTTGCTTAATCTCTAGCCCTTTGGGATTTTTAAAAGAAGATCTTTTAAGCTTTAACTATATACATGTAAGGAAAACCAATAACACCCTTGAGCGGGGCCAATTTTGACCCCAGGGCTTTTATTTGAACAAATTTGGCAGACACACTTAAGAAGATTTTTTTTTTCATGCTTAATATCTTACCTTTAGCTCTTGGTTATTTAAAAGAAGATTTTTTTTAAAGTTTTTACAAGAGACATAAGAATAATCAATGACCCCCTCGGACAGGGCGAATTTTAACCCCAGGGCTTTTATTTGAACAAACTTGGTAAATACTCACTAGAAAATGTTTCATGCTTAATATCTAAGCTCTAGCTCTTTGGGTTTTTAAATGAATATTTTAAAGTTGTTACTATGTACATATAAGGAAATTCAATGACCGCCCATGGCGCGACCAATTTTTTAAACCAAGGGCTTTAATTTGCGTGGTAGACACTCACTGAAAGATGTTTCACGCCAAATATCTAAGCTCTAGCTCTTTGGGGTTTTTAAAAGAAGATATTTCTTTCTATAGAAAATTTCTATAATCTTTCTATAATTTTGTATGGAATTAAATTCTTAGAACAAATTTAAAGGTGACTTTCAAAGGAAGGTTTTTAAGAGATGCCATTTTAAATAAAAGTTTACGGACGGACGCTGGACGAAAAGCGATCACTATAGCTCACCATGTCACTTTGTGACAGGCGAGCTAATAAAGGCTGTTTAAAACAATTTTTGAAAAAATAGACACTGAATTCTCATTTAGTGAAAAGGTAGGTGATGTACTATATTTCATCTACCTTGCATGGCCATTGATAATCAAATAACTGGCTAAACAATTGTATTTCAACAAGCTTATAGAGGTTAAAAATATGTATCCAAAATAGTTCGTATTTACATACTTTATTTAATATTCACGAAGTCAGCCTCTGTAAAAGTTTATGGGTATATAAACATGTATGTTTACGTATGTTTATATGATTACACTCTAAACTTCACTTCTAATTATATTATAGTAATCAAACAGAAGGCATAGAAATATCACATTTTGCTTTTCTTCACAAATAAATATCCGTCTTTCTATAATTATACAGAATACATCCTCAATTCAATATTTTTAAAGTGGAAGTATTAGTAGGTACTGCTGCTTTCTTTGCATTAATCACCTAATGTTTTCAACTATTACGTTGCTCTTAGTCTGTTGAAAACCATATTTTTTTTTTAATAAGTCTCAAATTGATTATTAAAAACTCTGTTCACTATGTCAGCTACAGTCCTTTGCAAGTGTTTCCTAGGGGCACATCTTGGGGTTGTGTTCACCTTTAAAGGCAAAAATTGCAATTAATTAAAAAAGAATGGAAATAATATAAGGCACAATTCAAAAGTACTAGAGCAACATCATTTCACTAAATACATTTTAGTCAGCGGTGATGTTAAAAAATTGACCTTTAAGTTAAATTACACTAATGATGACAAAATTGATATTCTTTATTTTGCTTGGAAACATGTACTTAATAAAGATATTTGAGAATCCAAGTCAGTGAAATATTGCTGATCCCTTTACACACTTGGCAATTTTTCACAGACTGCAATGGTCGTGGTGAGTCCACAATTATACAAAATGTATTATCATAATCTAAATTGTTTCTTATTTAACATTAGATCTTTAAATTGAAGATTATATTATGGTTACCCTATTTTAGTGACAGCTGCACAAAACAGTAACCGAGGCAGTCTTATCGAAACTGATATAAAATTAAAGATCTTATACATGCCTATATATATTATACAAATTTAGTTACCTGACCATATCTAACCCATTACCGCACGAGTATTTTGTGAAAAATGGTTGTTTTCTTTGAAAAGTCTCCCATTACAAGTTCAAATTGCTATTAAACTATAAAAACTGCTTCAATTCTAGTCAAATTTGGCACAAATGTTGACTGGACCATTGCCTTTGTAACAACATGCTCAGTCTTAAATTTCCTGTTACCATGGCAACGAGGGGACATCTCAAAATTGCAAAAAATCATTATTTTGCGTTGATTTTTTCCATCAAAATTTATTCCAAATGCTGAAACTTCTCAGAGCCAACGTGTTTTGTTAGCTGTATTTTACCAAGAAATTTGTATATTTACAAAATAAATTACAAAAATTTAGAATATTCCATGGTTGCCAGGTAACAGAATATAGCTTCCTTCATGTTGTATTTGTGTAATTATACCCTTTATTTAGTGTTACTACCTTTTATGATGTTATACTTGAGTCATCTTTCATTTGCTGTTGTATTAAACTGTTGTCTGCTGTCAGAGTAAATATCTGAATAAAGTTAATAAATGAATTATAAATGGACATTGTGTTTAGTTCTTTTGAAGTTGTATTATGATATCTCTCAACAGTAATATGTCCTGTTAACACTGTAGAAATGCAATAGAACCATTTGCAAATGTGAAAGAAGAATATATTTCGTATTGATACTTGCAAGTGTTATAAAATAAACCTAGCACATAACTTTTTACACGAAAAAGGCCAGGAAGAACCCAGGAATAGGTCCGTTGCTAGGCAACATAATGTAAATGATGCTTTAATTATGGTGGCTGTATTCCAAAAATATTCTACAACATTTATTAACTTTAATAACATAAAACAATTTTTTCACAAAATTCATTTTAGCTTCAAAAGTTGTTTTCCTCATGCACCTTTAAACATCACAAAGATCAAAGATTTTTATGTGTATTTTTAATTACTTACTGGACACCATACTCACAAAATTATGTATATCTTTGTAAATAAGAAAGACACGACCTTCAAATTTTCAGGAATTACTTCTGATATTTCATAGATTTAGAAAATTAAAAAAAGTGAAAATCAAAAATTTGGTCAAGAAACCCCATTTTTGCATTCCATGACATAATGGATTTTATATGTATGGAACAATCCTAACATTATTAATATTAAACGTTTCCTTTGTTGAAATATCTTAATTACTATGACCTTGGTCTTTCATAGAAATTGACCTTCAAGGTCAAATTATTGAAAATTGCTTAAAATGCCATAACTTTCTTATTTATTTGTGTTTTTGATCCATTCTAGGACAAAAGAACACTTACAAAATGGTGAATAAAACAATTGTGAACTAAACCTTTAAATGACCTTGACCATTTGAAATTTGTAAGTCAAATTTCGTACATAAAAATTATGTGTTCTAGAAGTATTCTTTACCACAATATCTTATAGGAGTATACTTTACTATATACTGTGTTCCTCTTAGTTTCCGGTGCTTATTTAATGCTTTGAAACCAAAAAGAAAACAACAAATGAATCTTATGGTACAAAAAGTGTCATAAGCTATAACATATAATTATTTTCTGCTGTATAGCACAAGGAAACAACAATATATTCAAAGTCAATTTTAATGGACCAAACGTAGACCATATGTCGGCCATTTTGAAAACAGTTTGTCATCATTTATATCACGGCAATGGTGTTACATATAAGTTTTTTCATGGTTCGGTTAAAATTTCTACATGTTATTTTGCTGAATTTCAAAAATTAAAATTGTCCTTACTTTGTAACTCAAAATTTATTTTTTCAACAAACAAGAACATTTAGAAAATGATGATTGTTTCAGACATAAGCACAAATGTAATGGACTATTATTGCTTTTTGCAAAAATTTGTAAAATGTTGTTTTGTTTTACGTAAAAATCTAGAGATTTAAAATATTTTGAACAAAAACTTTGCTGTATAGGTGTATGAATAAAATATGTAATTTTTGCCCAATTTTAACACTTAGGTCACTAAGGCCCCCACTGTGACACGTTTAACCGTCGATTCGATTTTCATTCGTAAACGTTTACGATAATTTTTACCGTTTAAACGAAATGGCCATATTGTCTTACAAAATATCTTAATCATTGTCCGTTATCATGGATTTTATCAATTCCAAAGTTAAAAACGGAAAACGGGTGTTTACAACCATCCACACATCATTACTGCGCAATAATCGCTCGTTACATAATAGATTTTTGGTAAATTTGATTTTCTTTTGATCTTTCAAAAGAGGGAAAAGGGGATACAGTGCAGAAAATGTGTGCCGAAACAGAAGTGTTGAGCCCTGAACATTATTTATTTCTACAAGTATTAAAATAGAAAGTAAGTCATCATTTGGCGACTTGAATACATAGGGTAGTATAGTACATAGAAGTACCACCGTTTAATATCGTTTCGGTTCTTAGCAACCGTGTAAACATTTACAAAATATTGTAAACGTGGGAGCCTTAACCAGCTTACACGCAAAAACTTAACCAAGAATTTCTAAGTCGAAAAAGGGGCATAACAGGCATATTAGTTGAATTTATATCCCCCACCGAGTACTGGTTATTACAAACACAACAATTGAAGACCAGTGGTTTCATGAAAATATGCCATTACCGTGAAATAAGTGATAACGCGGAATTAGTGATGTTGAGTATAATAATTATTTTCTCTGGTGGGGAAAAAGTCAACTACCAAGTGGTAGCTCCAAATAATTATTTCCCTTTATAATACAGTAAAACCCGCTTTAAAGACCACCAATGGGACCAAAGTGGTCTTACTTATGTGATGGTCTCAATAGTGGATATTCTTATATTTGCTTATATCATTTTGACCAGGATATATTTTTTTCATTTAATAAACAATATGTATTATATCCTTCAATTTAAAGATTGTTACAAATTATACAATATCCAATATGATGGGAGCAGAATATAAATTTGATGAAATTTCTATATTAAAAATGCAATTCTCAATGGTCTGGCTTCAACATTATAATTCACTTATACTATAAAAAAAAAGGAACGAAAGAAAAAAGAAAAAAAGAGAAAAACTTTGAATAAGTAATTCATGAAATGTTGACCTTTTCGTGTTAAATTAATTTTCTTTTTCGTTTTTAACCATATTTCCTATTATCATAAGATAGTATTTCTCACGTCACCTACTGAGAGGGAATCAAAACAAAATTAAAATCACCCAGATTATATTTGTTTAAAGAGTAAGCGATACTTCTATTTCAATTTGAATCATTTTTTTTCGTTTTGAACTTAAAAACGATGAGCTTGTTTGTAACATTGTGCTGATAAAAATTTGCCAAATTACACCAGTTTTAGATAATAATTTTTTGGTTGAATACTGCTAAATTTGGTACAAGTACATAAAATTTGCGACTTTCTCCACTGCCAAGCACAAACTGGCAAAGGTCATTTCAAAATACCTTCAACTAGATTTTTGACAAGTTAAAACAGCTTGAAATAACATTTTAAAATCTCAAGTTAACAGTTCTTTTCCAGAGAATAAGACATTTCACACACACACTAGCATATCGTCGATTTAGAGGTGACATGATTGAAGTTTTTAAATTGTTACATAATAAGGAGGATATTAACTGTGAAGTGTTTTTTGAATTAAATAACAATGCAAATACAAGAGCCTCAAGAGGTCATGGGTATAAACTGAAAGTGAAATCATGTAGAACTGAGATTAGAAAGCATTTCTTTTCTCTACGGGTTATTTCGGACTGGAACAATTTACCAGAAGTGGTTGTGAATGCTCCTTCACTTAACAGTTTTAAAAACAGGTTGGACAAATTCATGGGAGCAACACAGTATACCACCATACCGGATCAGAACTGGGTACAAAGCCATGGGGGGGGGGGGTTATAGAAGACGATGACGTCTTGCGACCTCAACTCCAGTAAAGTAAAAGTAAAGTAAAGTAACACCCTTGACATTTCACACCTCAAATTTTGCAGACACTAACACACACCCTTAAAATCTGTAAGACATTTCAACCCCAACACCTAAATTTTACAGACACTTTTACACACACACACCCTTAACCCTTTCCCCCCATGAGCATATTGTGAAAAATGGCCATTTTCACTGAAAAGCCTCCTCTTACAAGTTCAAACTGCTATGAAACTATGAAAAATGCTTCAATACTAATCAAACTTGGCACAAATGTTGACTGGACCATTGCCTTTGTAACGACATGCTCAGTCTTAAATTTCCTGTTACCATGGCAACGAGGGGACATCTCAAAATTGCCAAAAATCACTATTTTGCCTCGATTTTTCCCATCAAAATTTATTTCAAAGTGCTGCAACTTATCAAGGGATTGAGATAGAGTCAAAGGCTTTTCAGCGTTGGTTACATGTTACCTTATGATCGACCTGGGGTAATTTTAAGCCTCTCACAAGTCCAAAATTTTCTTGGCGATGAGGGGGACTCCGCCCCCCTTCAAACCCCCCCAAACAGAAGGGGGCACATCCCCCTTCTGGCAACCCCTGATGTATCTTTTGGATGGTGGGCAGCCCCGAAAAAGTGCTCACTTTTTTTAGCAACATTTCTCAAAAGAAAACGAGTACCTGCTAGATAGAGGTGGCTTTGAAAACTTTAACCGGAAGTACTGCGAAATTACTGGTAACGCTATAATGGTCAATCGTAAGTTTTCGACTTAAAAGCCGAGGATTTCTGATTGAAAAAGGATGCGTAGACTGGTCTACTGCGCATTTCCATGTGAACAAAAATATGACTACAAAAGGAACATTCCTGTGAAGTTTGGATGAAATTGGCTCAGCGATTTATGAGGATATTTCCAGGGTGTCATTGTAAAAACTTAAAAAGCCTTCTTTTGAAAAGCCCAAAGACTTAGAGCTTATATATTTAGCATGAAACATCTTCTAATGGGTGTTTACCAAGTTTAATCAAATAAGGGCCCTGGGGTTAAAATTGATCCACCCCGGGACAATTGATTTGCTTACAAATGTGTATGCTTTTCACTCGTCGATTCGTGACTCTTATTTTGAAAAATTGCACTTGCACAACAAATATCAGACATACATACAGTGCAATAAGTGCATTTGTTAAATAAATTCATTATCTAAAAGCTCAAAAACTTTAAATTACTTCTAAAAACATCCACTCAAAGATTAGAGCATCTGAACATGTCAACCATGACTGTCTTGCGTAGCTGAACACTTACCCATCGATTCGTGAAATCCGATTCACCCTGTGACGTCATCAAAATATAGGTGCTCACACCACTAAATGTTCCCATGGTTATTTTCAGTCCAATCTGATCAATATATGTTTCAAAGTCTTATGTAAATTCTTACAGTATAATGAATATTTTTTTGGCTTATTTGTGTGTTTGATAAATTATAACATCAATATTTAACATTTTCAAGTAATTAGGTCATCAGCTGATTGTAGGGTAAGCACATTTACACCTGTTCAATAACGCATTTTGATTGGATAGAATTGTCAAATCAAGTGTCTAATAAAACTTGTGTAGTTTTCAGATGGTGTATGTCCTTGCAGAAGTATTTATACCAGACATTTATTTAGGTCACAAATCGATGGGAAGGCACAAATCGATGAGAATAAGGCAAAAAGTAACGACTTAAAAAATCTTCATTAAAAAACCCCAAAGAGCTAGAGTTAAGATACTAAGCATGAAATATCATCTAGTGAGTTTCTACCAAGTTTGTTTAAATAAAAGCCCTGGGGTCAAAATTGGCCCCACCCGGGGGGTGACCGGTCATACTTTTTTCCTATATGTGTATAGTAAAAACTTTTTAAAAAATCATCTTTTTAAAACTCCAAAGAGCTAGAGCTTAGATATTTATCATAAAACATCTTTTAATGGGTGTCTACCAAGTTTGTTCAAATAAAATCCCATGGGTTAAAATTGGCCACGCCCAGGGGCCTATATACAGGTGAGCAATTTCAGGGCCATCATGGCTCTTTTTTCTTGAAAATACTGTGAAATTTGCCTACCTGAGAGTTCCTTGTCCCAGTACCCTATAAGGTAAATAGTACCCTGACAGAGAGAAAAGCACGTCTGTATAAAAACTTCAACATAGGCAGCATTGAGGGATTTCACCAATAATAGCCTGTGTCTAGTGAAAGATATACAACTTTACAAGTGTTATTTTATTGTCCCTTATTTAATGAAAAGGCTAGGTATTGTAAGACGGAGTCATTTGCTAATACCTTGTGACAGTTCAAAAACATGTCTTTTATGTTATTAAAATGCATATAGTGTTAAAGTAGGGATAAAAAGTATATGGTTTGGAAAAAAAGCGAGTGCATCATCTTGTGAGTAAATGTATTTTGGTGTGAGCCATTAAAGAGAAGAAAAGTCTAAGGCAAGAAATTTTAACAGGTATTTTTTTATGAATTACTATGGAGAAGGATGTGTTAAAAATCTCTGAGACATGTTGGACAGACTTTTTAAAGAGCTGTCATCTTGTATTACGTGTGACATAGATTCTACAGTATAAGATGTTGTTCAGTTCAAATAAATCTCTTTAATAAGGGATTGAAGTCAGAAACAATGTGCATACTATTCATGTTTGTGTATATCATAGAAACTTTGTAATTTTCATCCAAAATTTTGAATTTCAGGTTTCATTTTGGCAAGCGGGAAAGTAGATAATTATGGACAATGATGACTCAGTCAGCATTATTCCAGATACACCAAGGTATCAGTAGAAATTCCACTTTTAGCTCATCTTTTTTAAAGAAAAAACTGAGGCTGTTATGATAAATGCAGTCTTACTGTGGTCATGCATTTATAAGCTTTAATGCAGACAATTCAAACAATTTTAAAGGTTTCAATATGAAATATGAAACTTGCATTCTTATGATAAGAGGCAGTTGTTAGGCAAGGGACATTATTCTGAAAGCTATATTTTTGGAGTTATGCCCCTTTTTATGCCCCCACAATGTGGAAGCATATAGCGTTGCACTTGTCCGTCACTCCGTCCGACAGTTCGTCAGTCCGTCCCGAAATCTTGTGAACGCAACTCCTCTTAAACCGTACGGCAGATTTTGCTTAAACTTACAGGGATGAACAACCTTAATGTGTAGATGGTAGTAAAGGAAGGAATTTTCGCTGCGACCAAATTTAACAGAATTATGGCCCTTTGTTGATTTTTTCACTACATACTATGTAGAAATTTTGTGAACGCAACTCCTCTTAAACCGGATGGCAGATTTTGCTTAAACTTACAGGGATGAACAACCTTAATGTGTAGATGGCAGTAAAGGAACGAATTTTTCCTGCGACCAAATTTAACAGAATTATGGCCCTTTGTTGATTTTTTCACTAAATACTATGTAGAAATTTTGTGAACGCAACTCCTCTTAAACCAGATGGCAGATTTTGCTTAAACTTACAGGGATGAACAACCTTAAGGTGTAGATGGTAGTAAAGGAAGGAATTTTCGCTGCGACCAAATTTTACAGAATTATGGCCCTTTGTTGATTTTTTCACTATATACTATAATGCAACTCCTCTTAAACCGGATGGCAGATTTTGCTTAAACTTCCAGGGATGAACAACCTTAATGTGTAGATGGCAGTAAAGGAAGGAATTTTTCCTGTGACCAAATTTAAGAGAATTATGGCCCTTTGTTGATTTTTTCATTATATACTATGTAGAAATTTTGTGAACGCAACTCCTCTTAAACCGGATGGCAGATTTTGCTTAAACTTCCAGGGATTAACAACCTTAATGTGTAGATGGTAGTAAAGGAAGGAATTTTTGCTGCGACCAAATTTAACAGAATTATGGCCTTTTGTTGATTTTTAGTTTTCAACTTGTGGCACATGTAGTCTAAAAAATATTTGACCTAGAGTCATAAGATTGACAGAACAGTGGCGTGTGGGGGCATCCGTGTCCTATGGACACATTTCTAGTTAATGTAAGATTTATGTTAAAATTGTCTAATAAGTGGAATAATTTCAAATCTAAAAGATATCAACACAAGGTTGTGAATACTTCAATTCTATACTTTTGGAGTGTTACCCTTTTTAATTTGGAATTTTTGTCAAAATTATTTGTTATTAGTAGAATGATTTCAAAACTATCTAAGCTATTAACTTGTAACTTGTAATACTTAATAATCATGACAAGGCAAAGTTGTAACACAAATGACATTACCCTGAAAGCAAAAGTTTTAGAAGCAGTGATAAATCTAGATGTTCGTAACACTTAAAAATCGAAAAATGAGGCAAGGTTTCAAAATATGTGCATCCCATTTGACACATTCAAATCTGGTAGTTTTTAATAAAAAATATCACGGTTAGTGATATCTATGTACCGTTTGATTAGCTTAATTTCCGCAGTTGAATAATTCAATTTCTGATGATCATTACAGGTGCAAGACTCATACCCCATTCGCTGAAAACGTTAAATCCAAAGCAATTGTTGCTCTCGATTGGTAAACGCCCACTATTGGCATAAGCCAATCAGAGCATCCCTTTTGCATTTTGATTGAGAGTAAATCGATCGACTTCCTACAATGGCGGCAGATCTCATGCAAAAGGAATGCTCTGATTGGCTATGGCCAATAATGGGCAGTTTCTGATCACAAGCAACAATTTGCTAGGGATTTAACATTTAACAGCAAATTGGGGATGTGTCTTGCACATATAATCATCAGAAATTATATTATTCATCTGAAGAAATCAATAAACTATTCATCTGATGAAATTAAACTATTCTAGGATGCGAAAAACAGGATTTTTATCGAAAAGTGAAAAATTTATTACGTTTGTTGATTTTTTTCCTTTTTTCTCTATATAAAATGTTTCCTTCTGCCTCTGAAAAAATTTGGGGGAAATTCTCAAAAATATGAGTTAATCCTAGAATAGACACTGTAACATTAGATGTATTCTTATAACATGCACAATATGCCTATTACTGTGATTATTTAGTCAAACAGACAATGCCAAATACTCTTTTTCCTAAATTAAAAAAACAAAAACATTTAAAATGAACCTGTACTAGCAGAAAAACAGTAAAATTCTGGTATAGAAAAAAGAAACATAATTATATATTATGAGACTTCCTATCTGAAGCCATCTTGCGGTAGGCAAAACTACAGGAACTTGAAATTTTATCAATAATTAGTATTACTGTCTGATTTCTATAACAAAGCACAAAAACCCGTCCTTGTATAAAAAGACTACAACATTAGGACATGGTATATATCGTTTTGAAAAACATACTTTTTACAGTAATTATTGGTAAATTTACAAGTTCCTGCTGCAATTTAATTTCAAGTTCCTGGGGCAAAACAAATATGAGAAATTAATCAGAGCATAACTACATTAAAGACATTGTGTAAATGGTTACCAGCAATAATTAAAGATGTTATCCGTATTGATAAAAATTCCATTGAATTGAATCAGATTTCCTTATATAAGAAATGTACATAGTTTCATCATTCAGATTTTGTAAAGATCTGGTACATTATTGTACATAAGTGTATTTATAAATAAGAATGTTTGTTGGAATATGTTTACCGTATAACTGGTCATTTCTGCGGGTGCAAATGTTTGCGTTTTGGGACTGAAAATGGGTATATTAATTTTTCTGAATTAAGTTTAATTTCCGCGTTTTTCTATTAAAGTTATCGGAGTGGGTTCTTTGAAGAGAAAGGTAACATATCAAGTTTAAAAAGTATGTATTTCATATGATAAAATATATCCATGTAGCACATTTAAAAATACAAGTTAAAAAATGATAATCAACTTAGCATGTATACAGCCTACAAACACACACTTGCTAAACTTATTACACAATAAACTACATGTAAAATCCTTTGAGTTAAATTGACTACACAGAGAACATGTTATAAACATTCAATTTTCACTAGAGAGAGGGGCTCGGGCGGGGTGTGTGTATTGATTAATTTAACAGGTAAATTGAGGTGACAAATTGGGTAAACTACATATAAAACTACAAAATATTTGAGAATTTAATTTTTGCGGCCGAAAGGGACCCGCAAAATATCGCAGAAATTTTTATCCGCAGAAAAAACCAGTTATACAGTATCTTGATTTGATTTCATTTCTTCATGTCTGTATATTTACTTTCAGCTCATTTCCAGCACAGGGAAAAATTCATGTTAAAAGAACTAACTCGGTGATAAATATATCAAGTGATGACTCATTTAGATCTTCAGTAAGTTCTGATATAAACCAGCAGAATGAAATAAAATCGACTGGTCAAAGGACGTCTCCAGTACTGACCAAAGCCGATGATGATCGCAATATAAATTTAGTTAAGAACAGAAATAGGTCAGACAGCCCAACATTTAACTGTAGAAGACAGCTCTTGCATGTTAAAACATCACATGTCAGTAAGACGTACAAACCAAAATCTAATGGCATGGTTCCAGATTCCAAATCACCCCCATTACCTGGAAGTCCTGAATTTGCTCGTGAAAGAGCTGAAGTTTTGCAAAGGAAGAAAATGAAAAATAAAATTTCACCATTTTCCCAATCAAAATTTCAATTGTCACCTTTAAAGGCAGGGGTGAATTGCTTATCAGCATGTAAACCTAATGACAAGTTTATGTGGTCACCATCTCCTATAAAAGATGATTCTGTAAAGAATGGACTAAGAGATAACCACTATTCAGGGTTTGTGAAAAGTTCATGTTTATTGACAAGACCTGGTTCAAATGCATCAAAATCATCTGTTAGTGCAAGTACTGCTGGGTTTGTTTCTTCAGATGCAGTGAAAGCTAAAAAAAGAAAAGTTGAAACAATTTCAAGCCAAGATACTGACTGTGTTGTAAGACCTAAAGCTCAGAAGCAAAAAGCCACTTTCTCCTGGCCGTCAAGCTCAGACTCTGATGATGAAATGTTGACATGCTCCAAAAATAAGAAAATGAAAAAGGCTGAGAGTAATGCAAATGCCAAAGAAAGATTCTGTGGTGATTCTGTTGGTCAGAGGTTAATGTCAGGGAATGATGGAATAAATTCTGGAAGTGTAAAAGTTGGAGTTAGTCAGAGTGCTTTGAGTATTAATGAAAATTTACACAAAAATACAGAAAGGAATAGAATAACTTTTAAGGATAGATGCAAGGCAAAGTCTTCTATAGCAAGCACACGCAGCAGACCTATAAATTACTTAGACAATGATGAGGCGGCTGTTAACCCAAGACTGGGCTTTTCTCTAGGTGCTAAGTGTAAAAAATCAGGAAATAGTTCTTCGGCCAGAGAAGGACCTTCAGGTTCTAGTTTAAGTCCTCGACACCCTAATTCTCATATATATAGCTCTATATCACCAATCAAATCAACTTCTCCATACAGTAAGCATGGAAGAGACAATCTAGGTAATGTGTCAATTTCACCAAAATTGTGTACACCGACAAAAACTCCTGTGACATCAGTATGTCCTGCCAGGCTTGTGTCTCAGACAGCAGACAATTCTAACACACATAGCAACAAAAACAATTACAGAATATCAAAATCAAACAGAGTTGTGGCCCCTGGTGTAACTGAGCTCTCCCCAATAAGGAGGCAGAGACCTGCTCATAGAAATACAGATCTGAGTAAGTAATAAGCTTCAAAAATATTATTCTTTATGGCTATGATTAAGTAGTTGGACATAATTCTTACTTGAAATAATTAATGAATTTCAAGGCAAATATTTCTGCCTGACAGTTCTCTGAATTATTCTCCCATTTTCTGCTTTGCTTTAATACACTATCAGGTACTGGGGAAAAGAGGAGCACACAGCTCCTCAGACAGCTTTTGTTATGAAATGGTTTTCACAAACATTTTAATGGGTTCATTTGGTTGTTTGTTTCTATTTTAGACAACAGTCCTCTAGGAACTAGTGATAACCCTATAGATGTTACAGATGTAGCTACACCTGAAACAAAAAAAGCTCTTGAAGAAATACGACAAATGGAGGCTGATGAAGAGTTTGCTCGACAAATGCAGGTACTGTTAAGCCTCTTTTTAAATATAATAGCAGCCCTGATAGTTTGATCCCTGTAGTGTTTTTATCTATAGTTAACAACAGTTGTTGGTTCTTTACTTCTTTCCGCCAATAAAATCATTTAAAAATATACAAACATTGTATGATGATGAGGTGAATATCCAAGTCTATGGACTTGTAATATCACATAAACCAAGCCCATAGATTTGGTTATTCACCAAATTGTTTTTATAGAATAACTGTTTTATTGTATGATTGAATTATTGAATTATTCTTTTGGTAATTTTTCATAGTTGTCCGCATTTTTTTTTCACACTGACAAGCCGTTTATTGCGGTTGTTTATTTATATTCCATATTCTATTCCATTTTAAAGTGGGGTAAATGTTCATAAGAAAGGTCAGCAAAATGCCTACCTATTTAGCTTATCCTTGTATATTCCTCTGATAGAATGCTGTCTATTAAATGTGTAATTTACACATGGTGTATATTTAACGTAACATTGTTTTTGATTGATAGGCTATTACCCTATATACTATAAAGTTGTTAACAATTGATAGGCTATTACCCTGTATGCCATAAAGTTGTTAACAATTGGCTTCTTATAAAAGACATTTAAATTTAGCGCCACTCTTTATGACATTATGACATAGTTTGTTTTAAACAATATCACCAGGTGTAAATAAAAGAATATTTTAGGGCAATAATTTGATATATTAGGTAATTTAGTAAGTCACAAATTATTGAGAAAATGAATAGACAAAAAAAGGGGAAAAGGGTTTTGGTTGCTTTTTATTGGCCTTTTTTTTCAAAATCCTTAACACTTGAGGAAAACCATCATATACTCCTTTATAGTTTACCAAGTCTGTTTTTTTTGTTACAAAAGTTTGTTTTCTTTGTTACAGGAGCAGTTAGATATGGAGTTTGCAATGTCTCTTCAAAACAGTGAGCCAAATACTAGCTCTGATGCCTATCCACATGGTGCAACTGGAAGTTCCCCTTCTGGTGCTACAAATACAGGCATTCCAGACACAGTAACAAGTCAGGCTTGGAACACACCTGTACAGGCAAGAAGAGGGCAAAGGAGAAATGTAGGGGGAGGTAAAAACTTCTATTTATTTCATGTCTAGTTCTAATAAGAAAATGAATTGCCAATAGAAAGTTTGAAATAGGAATTTGAATGCATATGACTGAAAATATGTTGTTATTTTATTGTTTGGACAATACTTGCCAACAGTCTTTTTCAATTTTATTGGAATGGTGATAGGCACTACAGAGAGAGGGGAAATTGTGTCTTGAGAAAAAATACAGTCTATTACATAGTGATGCAATACAATAACTCCATCAAATTAAAATGTCTCTCTGTCCAATTCTTTTGGTAAACTCAATAGAGAAATTCTTTGGAGGAGGATTTTTCCATAAAAAAATACATATACCTTTTGCAGATGGGAATGAATATGTCAAGTTTCCGCCCCAAATCAACCCTAAAAATCACTACCTGCACAATATTATTAAATGTTTGTTAAATTTTCAGGATCACTAAGTTTTTCTTTACCAGTAGCAAGAAATTTGACATATGACATTTTTAAGACTAGTGTCAATAATACAGATTATCTTAAGCAAACTCATAAAAAATATTTAGCAATCTAATCAAAAACCTATAAGGTATACTTTATAAAAGGTAGCTGCTGTCTAAAAAGATAACAGTTCAATCACTTTAAAGTTTATATTACTTAAATTCCATTGCATTCAATTTAAACACACCAAGATACTTTGAATTTCTTCAATTCTAGGAAACTCTCAAGCTCATAAGAGATTTAAGTTGATAGTTATATCTATATTATAAAGTTAATGGTCTGTATTTCAGCTCGTAGCAGGAGAGATGTCCATGACAATCCAACAGATGAAGCTGTAAGTTGTGTTTCTAACTAAATCATAAACATAATCTAAATTTCAATTTGTTCATTGAATGAGGTAAAAAAACTAAGGAAACAATCAGTTACCCATGAGCCTAACAAATTTGTTATTACAATCTTCTATAAATAATTTCAAGCACTACAACCGGGACTGCATTGTTTTGGTAATTTCCTAGTAATAGAACACTTTGTTTCTTACATAAAACTACAGGTAGTGTCGATGTTTAAACAACAATTTTCAATTACAAAACACGGCTTGCAACCAAAATTCAAAGAAGTATTTTCTGTGGTCATTCTTAACCACCTATTTGTCAGAGTTTTGTTGATGAATAATTTTGTATATAGTTAACATGATTTCAGAGAATTAATTTATGATATTATATATTTAGGTATTGCAGCTGTTAAGGCAAACAATGGAAACTATCAATACTGAGCTTGGTGCCAGCTCGGAACATGGTAAATTTTATTTATATTTGTGTTTAGCAAATTCTCTAATAAGGTTTCTAACCCTTTATTTGCAGAATTTGTGTAATGGATTGCTTTACTTTGAATTTGGAATATTCCATTCAATGTTTAAGTGATTTCAATTTGTAATTGTATAACATAAAGCTACCAACAGTATCTAGCTTGTTCAGACTGCAGTCTTTGTTAGAGTAATGACATTTGCCCTATTTCTTACTGAAATGACGGAGCCCTATAATTTGTTGATGTAATGACATTCCCCCATTACTTACTGAAATGACAGCTCTATTTTATTGATGTAATGACATTTCCCCCTTTCTTACTGAAATCATAGATATGATTTGTTAATGTGATGACATTTTCTATTTCTTAGTTTCTTAATGAAATGATAGAGATAATAATGACATATCCTATTTCTTGCTAAAATGACACCTCTAATTTGTAACATGGGTTAATATTTTCCATTTTCTTACTGACAATTAAATGAAAGCTTTTATGTGTTGATGGAATGACATAATTTCCTATTTCTTAGTGGGATGACAGGTCCTATATGATATTGTAATAAGACAGCAGAGAATATGCTTGCTGAAGAAATTATTGTTTACTGTCCATGTATTCTTTCATTAATGTTAACATTTAGTTTGAGGTAAAAGGCATCATAAAGTCTGCATTTTTACAATTATTACAATGTTTTTGTTTTCAGATCATGTGCAGTTTGATCAGTGGTTAGGTGTAAGTACAATTTTATTTTTGTACAACAAGCATTTTACCTTAGATTATACTCTAAAGATCTGTAATTCTATTTAAATAGTCACTGAATGACCCATTTATTGCTTAATGGATTTGTGTAATGGACATGCCCCCAAGTGTAATTTGGAAATTGTAAATTTGAGGGATTTCAATATCAGAAGGTTTAATGTTAGATGCCACATATATACCTAACTTTACACTTGTGGTGATTAGCTATATCAAATTTTCAAAGCTTTGCATTTGGAAAGTTAATTCAAAGTTTAAGGGATTTCAATATGAATACACAAAAATTAGCGGCCAACAGTATAGAGCCTGGTCACACTTATTGACAATGCAGGCTAGCATTGCACTTTATTGATAGGAAAGGCCAATTGCTTTTAGCTACGAGAAGAAAAAGATTAAAGAACTTGTATGATATTTTGTTCATCAAAATGCTGATTTTTCTATTATATATAAATTTGTAAAATATAACATGATTGTTATTAACCAGGTTTTCGACGAAAACCGGGTTATTGTCAATGCGGAAGTCGGCTGCGGAGCGGGGGGAGGCGTTCAACTTTTTGGGTTTCCGCTCAAAAACTTGATGTTTGCTCTGACCTATTGACACCAAAAATTTGGTGTGTAGGTAGCTTAATCACAGAGCCAGCTTTGGATTGCTATCCAGGTGTCTGTGAAACAAGGTCACAAAGGTCACTTTACTAAATAAAAATTCAGTTTTCCGCTTCAATAACTTGAGTTTGCTTTGGCTATTGACACCAAAAAAATTGGTGTATGGATAGCTTATATCAAGAGGCAGCTTGGGATTGCTACCCAGGTGTCTGTGATCAAGGTTCAAGGTCACTGTTACTAAAAATAGAAATTCAGTTTCCGCTCAATAACTTGAGTTTGCTTTGACCTATTGACACCAAACTTGGTGTATAGATAGCTTATATCAAGACGCAGCTTGGGATTGCTACCCAGGTGTCTGTGATCAAGGTCAAGGTCACTGTTACTAAAAATAGAAATACAGTTTCTGCTCAATAACTTGAGTTTGCTTTGACCTATTGACACCAAACTTGATGTATGGATAGCTTATATCAAGACGAAGCTTGGGATTGCTACCCAGATGTCTGTGATCAAGGTCAAGGTCACTGTTACTAAAAATAGAAATTCAGTTTCCGCTCCATAACTTGAGTTTGCTTTGGCCTATTGACACCAAACTTGGTGTATGGATAGCTTATATCAAGATGCAGCTTGGGATTGCTACTCAGGTATCTGTGACCAAGGTCAAGGTCACTGTTACTAAAAAATAGAAATTCAGTTTCCGCTCCAATAACTTGAGTTTGCTTTGGCCTATTGACACCAAACTTGGTGTATGGATAGCTTATATCAAGAGGCAGGTTGGGATGCTACTGCAGGTATCTGTGACCAAGGTCAAGGTCACTGTTACTAAAAATAGAAAATTCAGTTTCCACTCAATAACTTGAGTTTGCTTTGACCTATTGACACCAAACTTGGTGTATGGATACCTTATATCAAGAGGCAGCTTGGGATTGCTACCCAGATGTCTGTGATCAAGGTCAAGGTCACTGTTACTGAAAAATAGAAATTCAGTTTCTGCTCAATAACTTGAGTTTGCTTTGACCTATTGACACCAAACTTGGTGTATGGATAGCTTATATCAAGAGGCAGCTTGGGATTGCTACCCAGATGTCTGTGATCAAGGTCAAGGTCACTGTTACTAAAAATAGAAATACAGTTTCTGCTCAATAACTTGTTTGCTTTGGCCTATTGACACCAAACTTGATGAATGGGTAGTTTATATCAAGGGGTAGCTTGGGATTGCTACCCAGGTGTCTGTGATCAAGGTCAAGGTCACTGTTACTAAAAATAGAAATTCAGTTTCCGCTCAATAACTTGAGTTTGCTTTGGCCTATTGACACCAAACTTGGTGTTTTGGTAGCTTATATTAGAGGCAGCTTTGGATTGCTACCCAGGTGTCTTTGATCAAGGTTAATGTATTTAGTTTTCATGTTATAACTTGAGTTTGCTTTGACCTTTTGACACCAAAATTGCTGAGTGGCAGCTTTGGATTGCCACTTAGATATCTGGGAGCAAGTTCAAGGTCATTTGCTTACAATAGAATTTTCAGCTTCTACTCAATAACTTCAGTGCACTTTGACCTATTGATTTCTGTCACATCAAAACTTGGTCGTTGAAAACCTGGTTTTCGTCGCATTGCGGCGCTTCTTGTATAATTATGGAATGTTTACAGAACTCTCCACATAGAGGAGGTAGGCGAAGAAGAGGTAGAGGAAGGGGCCGTTCAACAGTGCTAGGAGGTATAATGTTCAGTCCTGCTGCAGGAGGAGAGGATTATGAGGTGATTCCATCTTTTTGTTATACCCCACTTTTAAGTGGGAGAATTTGTTTGTGAAATTCCTCATAGTTTGTAGACGATCCTTTTTGATGTAACTGTACATTTTGTGATGCCCCACTTAAAATTTTGTCTGACCAAATCCTATAGGACACTTAGGCCTATAGTTCTAAGATTTGGTATGGAGCTTGATCATGGCTGGTAGATGACCACTTATTGATTTTAAGGTCAAAAAATGAAAAGGGTATGGTCGATCTGGCCTTGACCCCTAAAAACATGTCTAATAACTAGAGTGCCATGGCCTTTAGTCATAAGATTTAATTTGAAAAGGTTGTTTATAACTAGTGGGTTACCCCTTTTAATTTTTAGGTAATCAGGTCAAGGTCACAGTATTGCATGAAATACTTGTCTTATCAAGAACAACAGTTTCCTCAATTCATTAATAAAGCAAGTCTAGACACCAGTGGCCTTGACACTTAAGGAATAATCATGCTGTTTTACTAGCTTACTACTTTCTGGCTAGACTGTATTTGAGCCGTGTCACGACAAAACCAACATAGTGCGTTTGTGACCAGCATGGATCGAGACCAGCCTGCGCATCTGCTGTTCGCTATCAGTTTCTCTACTTGTAATAGGGTTTGTAAGTGAACAGCATGGATCCTGATCAAACTGCGCGGATTTGCAGGCTGGTCTGGATCCATGCTGGTCCCAAACCAATTATGTTGGTTTTGTCATGACACGGCTCATTTATCAAAAAAAATATATTCAAATTTCCAAAGACCACAGTGTATAAACAAAATCACTGTACCATGTCTTGCGAGCCTATACAATTCAACGTGTAACATATCTTGCGAGTAAAAAGGCCTGCTACTTGCTGTCACTGTACCATGTCTTGGAAGCCTGTATATTATCTGTGTACCCTTCTTGTGCAAACAGGAGGTGGACTCGTTTATATACTGTGAAGACTTTTTCTTGACAACGATTTTTTTTAATCAGGGAAGTAAAATAAATGATGTTCATGGTTTGAACTTTTAATACATTTGTTTCAGCATCTTATGAACCTAGCAGAGATGTTAGGAGAAGCCAAAGACAAAGGATTGTCAAAGTCTGACCTTTGTCGTCTTCCGGTGGTGCCGTACAAGAAAACTGTCGGACAGGAGGAAATAGATGAATGTAATATCTGTATGACAAACTATGAGGAAGGGGACAGCCAGAAAATTCTACCCTGTTTCCATTCCTTTCATTCACTCTGTATTGATAAATGGATAAAGGTAATTAGGGAATAGCTTCTTTAAGCTTGAATGTTTAGATTTTCAATATATGAACTGTTTCCATAAAAGGTGAATCTCATTAATTCATCTGATTCTTCCTTTTATGATCAAAAAGAATTTAAAATATGAAGCCCTGTCAGGGACCTTCAACCTTTGCCAAGGCTCGTTCCTGATGGGACAGATCATTGTTGGGTTAGGATTTCCCTATCATCAATATTACCCTGTGATAGATTCTTTAATTTTACTATTATGACTAAGGGTACATGTTAAATGAGATATGTGATTTTGGCATTTGGCCCTGGGGCACATTTTAGGGGAAATATGTGATATTGCCATTGAATGTAGGAGTTCAAGACATATACTGATGGTTTTCAAGATTTTTCATCATCATTAAAGCTGGATATCATCATGTCTTTTGATCACTGTCGGTATTAAAAATATAATCCATCAAAGAAAAGTAACATACAAGTAAATAAGTTTTGTTAAATAGAGTTTATGGAAAAATCAACAAAAAATTAATAATGTACCTTCAAGTTTAATTGGAAAAAAATGTTATGTGTAATTTGTTAGTATATAGGTTAACTACTTTATTTTCATGGTCAGTTTTCTCAGAATACTTTCGTAAAAAATGAATAATTAATGCTGTAGATATAAGGTTGTAAAAAATTTAGTTAGTAAGACCATCTTCTTACAAAACATAAGCCATAAGCCTATTGTTAAATGATAGATATTTATAATTCTGTATCGTTTATTTCAGAAAAATGCTACATGCCCCATATGTCGTGTTGAAGTGACAGTAAACTAGCCTCGGGAATCTACCTCCGTCTTCCTGTTTAAAGTTGTGCAATCTTAGTTGTATCATTTGATTTGTCATCATAATTCTGTGCCTGTCACAAGATTTAGACAAAATGGACAGGATAAGGTGTATGATTATTTCATGGTACCATAATTGTCTTGAAAGAACTGTACAGGAAAACCAGAATATTTAACTTTTGAGAGTGAATCTAATTTTTGTTAGATTTGTTCAATTGATGCGAGCTTAGATTCACAAATCTTGGTTTCTCTTGAATAATAACAATACTATAGATATACCTGGTAATGAGCCTTTTTTAAGTGAACATAATATATGTACAATTGATTTGAGCTGCGTCACGACAAAACCAACATAATGGGTTTGCGACCAGCATGGATCCAGACCAGCATGGATCCAGACCAGCCTGCGCATTCGTGCAGTCTGATCAGGATCCATGCTGTTCGCTTACAAACCCTATTACAAGTAGAGAAACAGATAGCGAAA